CAGATAACACAGTGTCAGGTCTGTGAAGCAGGCAGACACGGGACAAATGGGGCTCTAGGCCTCCAGCACTGCTGAGTTTAACAGATTCTTAACACCTTCTTCCCGCAAAGATGATGGAGGCCAGCCTTTCTAGCTTATCTTGACGACTACTTATTCCATAATGAGAAAATCATTCCTAACACCCTTTATGCAATTTATTGAACCTTCTGGTGTACATTTTGATAAGGATAATTGGAATGATTAAACAACTATCTTTGGAAAGTGGGTTCCTGATTAGGATACTGCAAAGACTAACAACATGATTATAGGATATATGATAAAGTTCACTTATACATTTCACATTACTAATAGAGAATTTTTAAAGTAAATTGCTACCTAAAAACTATAGCTGTTGGTTTTTGAAAAACATAATGATCTAGTATAGGTCTATGGTTTACCCAGCTATTATAAATGTCATAATTTTATTTTTGCATTTGTAATATTGTTCTTTCTAAACTTAATCTCACTAAATACTTAGAACATAGATGAGTAGAAAAATCAGAGAAACCTCATTTAGTTACTAAATTATCAAAGGGTGAGACTCAAGCTACAACCTGGTTTCCTGACTCAGTTCTCCACAGCCTGGTGTTCTAAACCCACATGTTAAGGGATTTGAAAATTGGGATGCCATGTGTCCATTTGTAATGTGTCAAAACAGAATATGGAATAATACTCCAGAAGCTAATAATAACCCTTGTTGAGACATTGTAAATAGAAAGTCCACAGTGACTGGCCATTTTCATTCTGTACATGGTAGTGATGGGGAAATTACGAGTATACTCCTTTCAATGCAACTTAATTGAATTTAAACATATTTCTTGTGATATTAGTAATAGGAAGAGACCTGAGGAAATGAATAAATGCATTAATACAATGGAAAAGAAGCCAGGTTTGTGCCATTATCCCTCTCTGATCATTGGAGAATAATCAAACTGGTTTCTGCAGCTGTCAATGCAGTCCTCTTCCAGAAGGTACTGACTTAAACAGGCAACTCTGAGGGAAACTGAGATCTAATGTCTTAGCTAAAGACAAGGAACTTTTATGACGGTCTTGAAAAACATTTAACCACTTATGTTAAATGAATTCACTGATAATTATACCTACCTAAGATTAAATTTTTAAAAATAATGTCTTCACTAATTTCAAAGATAAATACATTTTTATAATGATTTGTAATAAAATAATACATATTTCAATAGATAAATGCTCTGGCTTGGTTATAATAAAACTAACAGAATCACCATGTACGTGTCAGACTCGAGTACTGCATTGTTGACTCAGAAACTGTCACAACTGAGTTGCCTAGGGAAAGGATTCTGAAATGGAGATTGGTGAGCAAGAATTTTATTAACAAATACGTATGGAGGAGAGAGGGAAGGCAGGATTGGGGGAAATTTGACTGAGATGTAGTCACAACAAAGGCCCAGCCAATCGAACGGGGAACTCTGGAGCTGGCATAACCCTTCATAGCCCCGCACCAATTAGCTAGTTAGTAGACACAAGATGCCCCCAGACAGGGGAGTAACCTTGGGTGATGGCAACTCCCAGAGAGAGACTCAGCTGAGAGCTCAGACACCAATACCACCAGCAGCTGATGGAGTGAATATTTCAGCCCCAAAGGGGCAGACCTGGGTAGTACCCCACATCATCCACTACAGTCACCCCTGTGCTGCTCGGATCCACTTGCTTTGTATGGCAAGTTCTGGGACAGCTCCTCCGGGAGCCTGGTGCATTTCTTTTCCCGAGGAAAATTACATGAAGAAGGCTACCTGGACAACTTACCGCCCTACTGCTGCGGCTGGTCTCAAGGCCACACTAATGCTTATCATCTCTCTCTTCCAGATTCCTGAACAGCACTCCTCAAAACGGCCAAGGTCATCAAAAGCAAAGGAAGTCTGAGAAACTATCAGAGCCAAGAGGAGCCTAAGGAAAATGATGACTAAATGCAATACGGTGCCCTAGAAGAGATCCTGGAACACAGAAAGACATCGGGTAAAAACTAAGATATCTGAATACACTGTGGACTTTAGTTAATAATTATAATGTATCAATATTTGTCCATTCAGTGGGACAAATGTACCGTACTAAGGTAAAATGGTAATAATAGGGGAAACTTGGTGTGAGGTGTGTAGGAACTCTCTGCACTATCTTGGCAACTTTTCTGTAAATTTAAAACTATTCTAGGGGCCCACCCGGTGGCGCAAGCGGTTAAGTGCGCACACTCCGCTGCGGCGGCCCGGGGTTCGCCGGTGAGGATCCCGGTGCGGATCCCGGGCACGCACCGACGCACTGCTTGTCAAGCCATGCTGTGGTGGCGTCCCATGTAAAGTGGAGGAAGATGGGCATGGATGTTAGCCCAGGGCCAGTCTTCCTCAGCATAAAGAGGAGGATTGGCAGATGTTAGCTCAGGGCCGATCTTCCTCACAAAAAAAAAAAAAACTATTCTAAAATTAGAAGTTTATTTTTAAAAAAAAACAGGAAAAAATTGGATTGCTGCTAGACTTTGGCTTATGCCTTGGTAGATCTGAGAAAAACTCAGCTCATGATGAGCAGTTTTTCAAATGATGTGTAATTCTCTTCTGCAAATGTCACGGCCTTGCTCCAGAACCCTAGGGGTCTGTGTTGTCGTTTTCCTACTAGGTTTTCCATATATTCCATGTGGCATCTTTCCTTATCATCAAGACTTTTAACACTAAATGGTCTGTAAGGTCCTATGATTCAAGTGCCAGGCCACCTGGCCATAGCCTAGACCTGCTTTGGAGCCCTTTCCTGCCTGGACCCCACTCAGAGCTGGCAGTTTTTCACATCACCCACTTATATGGAATGGAGCAGTATTTTCAAGTGAGAACATGAAGAGGCCTCCCAAGCATTCTGCTGGATTCTTGGAGGTGGGAGGTGTAACATGAAATAACTCAACCCTTCCTTTGGAGAGGATAGTCCAGAATTCCCCAGACAACTGGACCCCTAAAAACTTCACTGCAGTGATAGGTCCCTGAGACTGTAGGATTTATCTCCCATCCTCTGAAGTGCACGTCTTTGCCAAGGCCTACAATGCATTTGCCACTTTGCACTCATCAGATCTAATGTCATTGACATAGATGACCAATGTGATATTCTGCAGAATGTCCATATAGTCCAGGTCCCTTCAGACTACATTATAACAGATGGTGGGAGAGTTTAGATAGCTCTGGAGAAATTCCATAAATGTATACTGTTGTCCATCTCAAGTGAATGCAAGCACTTTCTGATCTGCCTTTCTGGTGGGTATGGAAAGAAGATAGCAATGGCCACATACCATGTAGCTGAGTCTGTGGTAATTGATTCTTGCAAAGACTACACATCTAGCTCAGCATCTGCAGTTAGGGCTACCACTTGGTCGAATTTTCAATAACCTACTTTCATTCTCCAGAATCTATCTAGTTCTCATTGGGGCCAGAGTGGTGAATTAAATGGAATTATGATCAGGACCAATACTCCTGCATCCTTTAGGTCTTTAACGGTAGCACTAATCTCTGCCATCTCCGTGGGATGCCATATTGATTTTGGTGTACTATCTTGACCAAGGAGTGGAGTAATTTCAGAGGCTTCCACTTAGCTTCCCCATTAAGACAGTTTTTAACCCAAAGGCCAAGAAACAAATGGTGGTTCTGCCAAGTCTCAAATATGTTCAGCCCGATACTTTATTCTGGAAATGGGGAGATGACCATTGGGTAGATCCATGGACCCAATGGATCTACTGGAGTTAGACTTGGGATAGGACTCCATTTATTATCCGAATCCCATATGCCCCCATTCTAAAAAGCACACTACAGTGATACTCTTGTTCCTGAGCATCAATGTCAACTTGGACCTTGTGTCTCATGTCCTCAGAGTGTTTGTGTACACTCCTTTCTCTAGTGCACAGTTATCCAACTATATAACCATAGGTCCTTTTGAGGAAGGACTAGAGGAACCATTGCCATATACACTTGCAGTGGTGTTGCAAAGTCCTCCTTCTCGGGGATCCAGCCCTTCCTTCAGTCAGTAGTTTCTGGGTCTGGAAAATAGTCAAGGTCTGGAAACTTGGCAAGAGATCACAACTTTTTATTAGGGTGGCTGTGCCCTACCCATCTCCTGATCTTCATCCTTGATATCTTTTGATGGTATAGCTTGAGCAATACTCTTATTGGCTACCCATCTATTTTTCCCTAGGGATGCCATATTCTATTAACCACCTCCAAATCTCTCTGCAGGTACCCCTCAGACCCGGCCACTCATTATGATAATTGTGCCCACTTTGCTTCTGATGGTGAAGCACTGCCTCTGGGGCTCCATTCTTCCATCTCCATTGCCATTGGTGAGCCCATTTCTGGAACAGCATCTGGCCTGTAGGGCCACACTGAGGTTCTCAGTGATGCTGTGCCCCCTCACCAATGCATTCCTTACCTCTTCAGTGAATGTGTCCTCTGTGCCTTCCTGGGAAAACATAAGAAAACATGAACAGTTTATTGCTCTTTGCAATAATATTCATGAAATAGGAAATCAGGTGTTTGGTCTGCTAGTTATAGGGTTTTTTTTCCCCTGGTGCACATTAAAATAAATAAATATTAACATAAAAATGTGCATCCGTCGACCACTTGAAATCTCTCCGCATACACAGATGAACCTTTGAGAACACTACAGTAGTCAACAGGGAGACATTTAAAAAGCCAGAAAACCCTCCAGCCTCCTGCACATCTGTGGATCCTGGTCCTGCTGAGCATCTTGTGACTCCTGAAGTGGTCACTTCGGTCACCCTCGAGCCTCTCTCATGTGCTGCAGTGTCCACTGGACTTGAGCCCAGATCTGCCCCTTGACTGGCTTTAGAATGAGGGGAGGTCCTTAATCTCTCTGCCTCTCAGCGTCTTTACCCTTTAGTTTAAAGGGATTAGGGAAAGAATACCTGTCCCTTCTTATTTCTCGGAAATATAACACACATCCAATTGAACAGTAAACAGAGAAACCTTTTAATTCTTTAGAAGGAAAATTTCCTGGATGATCCCACGTGTTTTTATAATCATAGAGACAATCTTATCCTCACTCATTCATTATCAAAAATAAAGACTATGGTTACAATTTATTCTCCAAAGTGCAAACAATCTTATCTATTTTGACATGAAAAAAGGCAGAAAGACAAAACACAAATTCTATGGACAGAGATGAAAACAATACAATTTTCAAAGTTTTTTGGTTTATTTTATTGTTAATTTTTGCTTTTGTTTGTGTCACTGTTTGTATGTTGTAAGAGGCTACAGAAGTGACGGAAAATATCTGCAGGCTAGTTTTAAGCAACATGAAAGGGATTAAGCTCTAAATATAAAAAATAAAACTTTTAGCTTAACTTATTAACCTAGAAAGAATTTTCTGGAAACATGTCAGTTAAATTGGCCTGCCATGCATTAAAAAATGGAGAACATGGATCTCCTTTAACAAATATTTTAAAAATTGTGTACACCACCAGAAGAGCTAGTCAGTGTGTGGAAATTTTCAAGTCTCCTGGACAGACTGAACACACGTTACTTTTTAACCTGAAGTCAGAAGAGAAAAGTCTGTAAAAGTGAAAATATTGCCATTGTTCTCAGCAATTAACTGATAAATCCTACAAGTTCTGAAAGTCTTTTTAATAAAATGAACCATGATTTCCCGGCCAGCTCCTTGCTTAAGAGGTAAGTAACTTCTGAAACTGGATTTCTCCATCTGTGGATAGAAGCAAGGTGCATCGGCAGCATTGCTGCATTTTGAAAATCATCTTCAGAATGAAAGAAAGTCCAGCAATGACCTTCTTCCACGCAACACTGCCTGCAGAGCTGCAAGTCTGCAAGAGAGGTCCCTGGGCAGGTGCAACTCTCATCCGATGAGCCAGAAACAGATTAAAGAGCAGAGAGGGAAATGGAAGTCAAATGTTTCAGTTTACAGATCGTATCTTGGATAAAACATAAAATATCAAGGGCTTATGGATGAGAAATGGACAATATGCAAAAATGAGGTAACCAGATATCAATAGTATTGAGAATTTAAGACGCTTGTACCGCAACCGAAGGCAGGACTTGTTACACGTAACTGCAGGAAGTTCTGCTTGAGATCATTCTACTTGGAACTCACTTCTGAGCAGCACTTCTAGACATTTCTATTATCTGGTACATATAAACTTCTGAATAATCATAACTGATACTCAAAATGATGCCTCTGACACCCTGCAAGTTTCTGTAGGTTCTTCTAAACCAAAGAAAGGTCCCATAGTGCCTGCTATTATTTTGGTGTCAGCCTATATTATATAACAATTATTTAAAAATTGGTAATCCGTATTTAGGCTCAATGATAGCTCTCTCTACTAATCTTATTGTTCCATTAACTAGAATTCCCCACTCTCCCAACAGGATTAATGATTAGAGCTTACTGTACAACCAAAACCAAAATCGGGGCCATGGGTTCTTGGAATCTAATCGCCCATGACGAAACAGCCCCCTGACCAACTCTCTGATGCAAGATCACCAGATGTTTCCACGCAACTTGAACATTTCATAAAGTCCTCATGAAGACCAGATCTCCAAACCCTTAGATTTTTGTAGGATTCAGAATCATTTTTCACTTAGCCAGCCCCAGTGAGCTAGCTAGCTCACTCTCTTCTATATGCATTTGTCCAACTTTGGTTGCTTGTTGAGTTCCAGTCAAAGAATTCCAATTCTGCCTCCCAGCCTCTCCTTTAGGGACTTGGACATGGAAGGTAGTGCAGTTCTTTCTGGCCATCTGCCAGGTATGGGACCCCAGGCTTCTTGGGGTAAGCTTGACTGGCAATTTTAAAGAACTCTTCTGCAGCATCGAGAGCAATGAGACGGTCCTGCCAAAATATTAAAAATAAAAAGATTGTCAAGATGGAAACCAAGCCATGTAGATGGGAAAACCAATCTAACAACAACAAAACTTACCCTAAAAAAATAATGAGCAAGTAAAACATTTATTAAATTTTTCTCAACAAATTTAGAGACACTCCTTAATCCTTTACTTACATTAGCCAAGAAACATTCCACCTCTCTTCGAGTCCTTTCAAATTCTTTTGCAGTCTTACGTTATATTAACAATACTTCTCACATCTCTTTGACTTACAGATGGTTCAGAAAGCTGACTACACAGCACAACGGGCTGAAAAATACAGATTCAACCCGAGCCTCAACAGGTCTGAGTGCAATCCAGAAATGGGACATTTTAAAGCCCATGAGGTGATTCTGATGTTGTTGGCACCGGAAACCCGTGCACAAGACACTGGCATCATCGGCCACCTCATACTGTGGTGGAGCTGGTGGTGTTGGCATGGGAAGTGTAAGGAACAACAGAAACACACAAATTTCAGGCAAAAGCAGAGCAGATGAGACAATGCATCCACTTACCACAACAAAGAGGTATCTCTCCGAGAGCTCCCAACTCGTTGGGAAAATGTCGGTCTCTTCAGCCAGTTTTAACAACATCTCTCGAGCTTTCTTTGTGTTTTTAGAGTCACTCATGGTGCTGAGTTTTGTCACCGACAACAAAGAGTCTGCTTCCTTTTGAAAACCTAAGGTAAACAAATTTACCCCTCCTGAAAAGTAGTCACAAGGAGGTGAATGACCTGCAGGAGATTAAGAAGGGACCCGAATGCGGATTCTGAACAAACATCAGGAAACTGAAGCCAAAGGCACCGCTCCACGTGCTGCTTCCCAGCTCGGGGTGACTGGCAGGGTCTTTAATCAAAATGCGTGTGATGTTTCTCCTTGGTTAATTTTCTTTGTTAACTTTTCCCTCCGACTTAAGCCTCAGATACTCACCCACTGATGGCTTGCTGCTCTTTTTTTGGATTGAAACCCCCCTCCCACATGCTACTTTTCACCTCCTCCTCTGTCCCCTGAATCCCACCCACCTTTGCAGCTTGAGAACTGCAAAGTGGTCACCTCCAGGCCCCTACTTCTCCAAGCCCAGATTCTCTGCCCAGAGGCAATATGGTTGGCTGGTTAAAATTACTTACCCAAAGGTATAAAAGACTCATAGATTTACACCTGCCTGGAATAACTTACATTATAAAAAGGAGACTAGTAAGTCACAACAATATTGGATGAGTAAAGAGGGCAGAGGTCCACCCCATCCCACTGTATCCCAACTAAAGCAACAGGGGCTAGCAACACGGTACCTCACTTTTGAATGGTTATGATGCCAAGGTGTCATGTTCTCTTCCAAAGCAGAAGGATTGAGGACTTCAAAATTGATAAATTCACTTTTTAAACATTAAAACAAGCTTATTTTATAATGTGAGGGCCTTGTTTATTGTATCACAACCCTGGAAGAATTAAGAAAAACCAATACCCAACAGCTTCTCTCATGCCACTGGTGTTTTTCCCAACTTTGAAGCTTTTCTATCTTTTAATCCTTTTGAGAGTCTACACTGAATTTTGCTGTCTTTCTTACACACAATATTCTCCCAACCTACCTTATCTTATAAAACTTCTACTAACTGGCCAATCACTCTCATTTAATTCAATCTATGTCAATGCCAGAAAGTTCAAGGTAGCGCCCGTGTGACTTCCCTGCCCTGTGCTGCTCAATATGTGGAGAGATGGAGTAACACGTGGCTAAGCATGTCCTTAGGACGCGGGCTGGCGATAACAGAAATATCAGATGTTTATGCTTGAGGATATAAGGAGAACAGGATCGGGAAAATAACTAGTACACAGGAGCCTTAATTAGTCAATTACTGACATCCCTTTCATAAAAACCATGGTGAAGTAAATGAAGAGGAATGATCACAACCAGTTATTTTTACCATTTCCTACTCAATTTCAGACTCACCTAGATCTTCTAAAATGCGTTTCCATCTGTCTCTCACTTCCCTTCGAATCTGTCGCAGGGCGTAGATATCATAGTTGAGTTTTTGCCACTCCTGTAGGAAAATTAAAATTCAGTTTTATTTTCATCCTTGGGCTTAAACCTCTATGTAATTCCCAAACTTAAGCTGTTTAAATATGTGGTTCTCCTCTTCACTAATCTTTGAAGTATATCTAAAAGAAGAGAAGGAGATGGGTGAGATGGCGTTGACGGGAACACATCAGCTACCATTTCTGGAGAATCTGCGATGTACCAGGTGGTATGACATGTTACATAAATTATCTTAGTCTAACTCTTCACATTACCTATTCTCTTAACTTTAGTGATCTCATCTGCCAAGTGGGGATGACACTAGTTCATATTCCATTCAAGATTGTTATAAAGAGTAAAGATATAAAAAAGCACAATACCTGCTCACAGGGAACACCTAATACAATCCATGTATTATTAAAGCCATTTTATAGATGAAGAAACCAAGGCTCAAAGAGGTTAAATGGCTAATCCAACATCATTCAGCTAATAGGTATCAGAACTGGTATTTGAATTCAGGTCTCACTCCAAAGTTCATGAGAAAAATGACATACAACGAATTTATGTCTTCCTTTGTTATCAGAAGAAAGTAGACCTGGGAATCCCAAATTTCTTGATTTCCAGCCCATGTTTCTTTCACCTTATCTCAGCATCACTCTCTATCATTTATATTCCCACAATAGGATGAATCTTTCAAGCACTCAGCAGAACTATCAAAAGGTTATCATTCTGAAAATTTCAATCTTTTTAGGAGTAGGCCATCCTATTGGTCCCTAAACAGAACTTGAATCTTTCAGGAGAATTAGAATCTTTACGAAGCTAAGCATTCCTTTCAAATGTCACGGAAATTTGTTTTTAAAGAGCTTTAACTATATAAAACAGTCATTTTATAGAGTATACCTTTTCCTCTTAGCAAAAACATTAACCACACAACTATCCTAACACACAGCTTTAAAGAAGATCATTCTAAATGCTCAATTTAAGACTGAAGTTATATGATATTTTGACTCCTCTAACTGAAAATGTTTCAGTGATGCCATTATTTCCCTACTCAGCTCCTTTCAAGGCTTGCTCATTGCTAACCAACTCTCACAACTGGTTAAGAGAAATCAATTCAGCTGCCATTTACAAATATTTATAGATATCACTTTGAAAAAGAAAAGTTAACAAAATAAAGTGTGTTTTGTTATGACTGCATTTCAGGTCTTGTATCTAAGGATATGTCATCAAAAGGCCATGGATTTCAGTTATTTTCTAGAAGTCAGAAAGTGGTCAACTTGAGGATTCTTTCCTGGTTCTCTTTTTCTGACCAAAGATGTGTGAGCACATGTGTGTGCACACAGGTGTGGTGATCGGGGTCAGGGATAAAGTCTGTGACCCTGGAAGAGAGCAAAGTGAACTGAGTCATCTCAGAAATATGCAACCCTGACCTCATCTTTAGCATCATGTTAAACCACACCCATCTAATCCCCCACAGAATGTATAAGATGTGGGGGGAAAAACTCAAGTACTGAGGTTTTCATTGGCTGGGGCCTGAATTGGCCCTTCAATATGTAGCATCTTGGAAGGAGCATGGATGCTAGAGCCAGACTTCCAGGTTTGGTTCCCAGCTCCATTAGTTATTAACAGCCTGATTTCGAGCAAGTTCATAACCTCACTGTGTCTCTGTGGCCTCATCTGCAATACGGGGATAGTAATACAACCTACCGCATTCGCTTACTTCAAGGATCAAATGCATTAATGCAAGCCTTGAAAACTGTGTTTGGTGCACATTCTCCTCCAATTCAGTGTAGGCACAACTAAGAAACAATCTCCCAAAACTCAGGATGATTTCTATTATGAGGATTGAGGACACTACACATGACATTATGCAGTATCTCACTTGTGCGGACCTCCAGAAGACAAATTTCTCTGCTCTTGACATCAGGTACGATTTCACTTTTCCTAAAAATTGTTCCCTTTTTCTGGACATTGTGAATATTATAACTGATCAGTTTCCACGCTGACCTGAAAATGTAGAGTCCTTTCATGGAAGATTTGTAGGATTTTGAAAGTGTTTTGGAATTATCAAAATTCTTTACTACTTTTTATGTCTTTATTCATGTTTTTTCTCTTTCTCACCTTCTAGTTTGTGGTATCTCACTGTATTTTCATGGAAGTTGCCTTAAGACCTTTATGACAAAAAGAATATAACTAAATAAAACATTACCCAGAGCAGAGCTGTGCTTATTCTCAATGAAACTGACCCTCCTTGCCGGACTAAATGAAAAGTAATACAACTCTTAGTTACACTTGATTAGAGACCCACACAATCAATCTGAAGTGAGTTGCTTCACATACTCACACAACCTTAAATTCTGTAACAAACCACTAGGTGGCTTCATTAACTTGCGATTAAAGGTCTCTGCTAATTTTTCTTTTAGCTCCTAAGGCTGATGTCTCAGACTTTGTTCCTTCAACTAAGTGTAGCCAAATCTCAATTTTTCAGACACCCATCCATCACTGGGTGATCCTGGCTTCAGACTTTTTTTAAATCTTTCTCTTCCTGCTGTCCATCTGTCATTTATTTTGCAATTCCTAAATACCAACACTAAAAGTTACACAAATTCATTCCGTCTCAGTGTCTGTTACTCTGATAAAGGGTTGGATGGAGAAGCAACAATATGAGATTTAAAAATCTGGTGAGGATGGATCCACACACGGTGCATGTGTGCTTGTTAAGATTAGTGGAAGGAAACTATTTTCATATATCCATATTATTACTGTCTTCTTTTGACAGAATAGTTATGAAAGTATAAAAGTATCTGGGAGTTTTGTGCAAAGTTGAAAGCTCTAAGACCAGTAGCAGCTTGGGTAGGGTTTTAACTAAGAATTGGCTTTTGAGAAAATAAACAGTAAGAGGGGAATTTGAATTCCTGTTTAACACATGATCCCAAAGAATAGAATCTAAATACAGCAAATGACAAATGGTGATGTACAAAATCTTACCCACAACTAAAGAAACTAACTCACCTATTCCCTGGTATTAGAGAAAAACAAGTCTTGGGGTACCCTTCTACGATATTTAAATTGTAACAATTTGTTTTTAGACAAATAATTTGAAAATAACAATTAAAGATCAGTTAAATATTCTTCACAGGTAAGTGGAAACAAATCTACTAGACATCAAATGTTGAAGTCTTATTTTCTAAAATAATCTTTTGCTTCTTTTCTCATGATTTCTGAAATAATCGTTGCGATGCTGTGGCTGGAAACGTTAACAATGAGGAAATGTGCAAAGGTATAATAAAAGAAATAATGCAGAATTAATGTCATAAGATTATAGGAACCAAGTCAAACTGAAAAACATGTGATTGAAAATGAAGAACTGAGTGCGCAGAGCTGAAATCTTGAGGCTTTTCTCCTCTCGAGCTGTCTCAGATTAGGGTGCCAGACAAGAAGGTGGAGGCAACAGTGTGCGAGGCAGAACAAAGCTCGGTCTCCTGCAGTAGCTAGTTCTCCTCCAGCTTTCGACCCCAAGAGATGACCTTGACCTTGACCTTGACCTTTGATTCCAGCAACTAGGATCATTTTATTCTCACCTACACTATGTTGTTGTGAGGTTGTGGATAAATGGGACAGTTTAAAAGTACTTTTTATTTCTTATTAAAAAGGTGAATTAGACATTTAAAGAAAGGTACTCTAACAATAGGTTACACATATTTTAAATCATCTTAAAGTCACAGGAACAATTTCCAAAGAGATCAATTTATTTTTAATTATAAACATACTATCATATAGAAGTGAAACTTCAAAGAGAAAAGAAGGGTACAAAATGAAAACTAAAAGCTTGCTTTCCCATCCTCTCTTTCTAGCCTTATTCTTCAGGGGTAATTACTTTTGAACATTTCTTCTTCCTCCTCCTCCTCCTCCTAACGTGTCATTTAGTTCTTCCTCTGTGCTCTCTCTCTCTCTCTCTCTCTGATTGCAAAGGGAGGCTGGAAAAGTGGAGAAATATTATCAGTAGTATTTGAACCAATCAGGATCCATCCCCTGGGGCTGGCACCTTGATGCCCAAACCAAAGCTGGGTTCTGGTAGCAAGAAAGAAAGGAAGGATACGGACACCTGGGTGGCCAGTATGTCAGCAACTAATATGTTTGCCACAAGCAAATATTTGCTGTTTGCTTCCCCAACATCTATCTTCCCCTTCTCTCATCAATCTGTCAAGTTCATCCAGACTTTCCTTTGCAGAACAGTTACTCACATTCTCAGCCCTAAGAGTGGACACCAATTGGCTTACACCAACAAACTCAACTTTGGCTGTATATTATAATCAATCTGGGAGCTTTTTAAAATACCAATGCATGGGATCCACCTCCCAGGCCAATGAAATCAGAATCCTTTGAGGGGGCCAGGTTTGAAACCCAATAACTTAAGCCAATCAGCATATCCAACTGGCTCAGGATGGACACATAACCCAACTCAAGCCAAGGAGATGCCACAAAATCCATGGGGTTCTGGGAGCAATCAGGAGTGGTGTTCTCTCTTTCCCTGGATGACGTGGTGTGAGGTACAAAATCTAGAACTGCTCCCATTACTTTTACTACCCGGGGAAGAGCCAGCCGAAGGAAGAAGTCAACATTCAGGAGGATGAAGATGAAAGAATCGGAGAGACAGAGCCTAAGGACATCCTGGGCCTCCAGATCAAATCTCATCTCAAGTCAGTGCTACTTTTGGAACTCTCTGTTATCTCAGCCAATTCCACTTAGGTTTGACAACGAGTTGTTTTTCTGGTCCTTGCATCTGAAAGATTCATGTTACAAAGACCATTCACTGAATATATAAGCAAAAAGGAAACTATAAGTACTGCACAAAAATTAGTCTCATATTTTCCTACCTCTAGCCCCTGGGGGAAAATGTTCAGCATATAGACCTACTTAGCTGGGGATGGATAAGCCTTACAGGAATGCAGTGTTAATGGCTCTGCCTGGATCCCAGTCTTCTGTCCCAGGAGTGCCTTAGGCAATGACACAGATACAACAGCA